TCTGAATTAAGTGTTCGGACCTTTGTGTTTCCACAGCAGGCTGAGATTCCTCTCTCTTACGCTATCAAGCAGGGTCCCAGAGGAAAGAGATGGCATATTCCAATGAGGATGATTCAAGGAGGTCAGGGGAACCATAAGAGATGGGAGAGGAACACAGGTTAGTAACAGTGGAGCTGGCACCAACTCTAAGTCCAAAGAGACAAGGAGAGAGAGTGGTTTAAAAAGCCTGGACAAAGAAATCAGGTGGAAAAAAATTACCTGGTGAGGCATGGTGACTTTTGCTTGATAGTAATTGAGGCAACCTTACAGAGAGAAAAGCAAGAGAATAACTATCCTGGCCTTATTTGCCTCCCTTCTACTGGAACTCATGCCAAAATTCCTCACTGGCCAAATGGACCAGAAGCCTGAGGACAAGGAAGTGAGTTTAAAAACTCTTACAGCTCAGCCTGCTGATTGTCAGGGTGAAGGGTAGATAGTAATCTAGAGAAGCAAATGGATTGTATCTGGCACAATCACACTTTAATGGAATTGTCTCTTTGTTCATTGGTCTTCCTCATTAGTGTGAGTTACTTGAGGGCAGGGAATGTTTCTTTTATCTCTGCATCCTTAGCATCTAATATATACTAGATAATAAAAGCTTATTGATTGATTCAGAGGACATGGTAAATGGACATCACTCGGAGGGCTGTACTTTCTGAGCTTGGCACATGCTTTCCGCATTATCTTGTTTTGTGCATTATCTTTTAGATTCTTCCAACAACTCTGAGGAATATCCAGGGAGAAATGGAGAACAGAGTGAGCTCTATAATTTTCATTATCTGGCAAAAAAAAAAAAAAGAAAAAGAAAGGAAGGAAGGAAGGAAGGAAGGAAGGGAGGAAGGAAGGAAAGAAGGAAGGAAGGAAAACATTTGGTCAAGAGAGGCAAGTTCTCTTAGCACTCAACACTGAGAGGAACTGGAATCAGTCATAAGATTGCTTATACAAGAAGCACTCGGTTGCATAATGGTCAATATCTTCAACAGCAAAACCATGGGTGCAGAAACTTTCTCATGGAGCCATTTAAAAGTATTAAACTTTACTAAAAGTCAAAGGCCTGTTATTAAAAAGTAACCCAAAGGTTAACTGAGTTAGTGTGATTCACTTTGGTTGATCTTAAAAGACCTTACCCCCCAAAATAATTAAGCTTTAAACTTCTAGCCTGACCAGTATGGCTTGGATTCTCCCTTCTCTTATCAGCCAATAGATGAAAAGGACCAACTGAGAAACTCAGATGCACCGAGAGACCATAGAAGGCAAAACCTGAGTCCCTGAATAATACTACGTGGAGTGGAGCCCTCTCCCTAACCCCTCTATACATCTGTGCTGAGAGCAAGAAATAAACCTTTAGTGTGTCAAGCCTCTGGTGTTTGTTGGGTTTTACAGCAGTAGGTTTCTTCCCCTGACTTATAAGACATATAAAATAATATTCTAAATTTTATATTTGAGTCTGTTTTCAAAGCTAGACCATGATTGTCATAATCTGTTGTCTATATCATCAGTTATTTTCATGAAAGTCCTTTCCAGCTTGAATCTCATAGTTTCAGGGCTATTGTATTGTCCTCTGCCATGTGAGAGGTGTCCCTTAGAGCTCTTCTTGCTTGGAACATGATGAAAAATATAGTACTGACATTCTGTGTATTTTTATAATGTACAGAGTCTTGTTTCATGCATTATCTCTTTAGATTCTCCCAACAACTCTGAGGTATATGCAAGGGCCTATTATTGTCCCCATTTTTCAGGTGATAAAACTGATACTAAGAAGGTTAAGTATAAAGTGTGTGTGTGTGTGTGTGTGTGTGTGTGTGTGTGTGTGTGTGTAGAACCTAATTTACAGAGTTATTTGAGGATTAAATGAGAAAATAATTGTCAGCGTGGAACCTGGTACATGTTACAAGTTAAGTTTTCTTATTCTCTTTGTAATTTCCTTATCAGTTATCTATTAGAGTATAACAAACCACCCCAAAATAAGGACTTAAAATCGTAACAATCATTTATTCTGCTTACAGAACGTGGGCTGTAAAGACACAAATAGCTGGGGTGGGGGGTAGGGCTGGAACAGCTGGCTTCCTTCTCTCTGTCTGTGATCTCTCCACATGGCAGCCCCTGGGTAACCATGGCAGCTGACGACTTCCAGAGGGAGTGGGGAGAGCGAGAAAAGTGCAGGTTCAAGAGAGAGAAAAAGAGACAGAGAGGCAGACAGGCAGAAGCTCTGACACCTTATGACCTAGACTTGGAAGGACATCACTTCCATCATATTTTCTTAGAAGCAAGCCACTAGGGCCAACTCATATTCACAGGAAGGGGAAGTAGAATCTACTTCTTGACTGAGTTTTGGGGTATATTCTTCAACTACCACATTTTCCTCTCTAAAACACTTGCCTAAATTAGCACAGACATGAAGCTCAGGAATAAGTGAAGTGACACACCCAGTGTCAGTCAGCTGTTAAATGGTTCCACCAATATTAATCCAAGTTTGTGTTTCCCAAGTCCATGCTCTTTTTCATTGCCCCAGAAAATCTCCTGTGATCAGCATGTCGAATAGAGAAGAGAAGACACGCCAGTGCCCAAGTGGGGCCAATATTTTTCATTGCCTTGAAAAACACATTTATTTTGCAGGAAAAATGTTATCCATAAAGCAGTCATCCATAAACACTTTCCAAGTTTCTCCCAAACATCTGTGTTTTTCATTTTCCCTGTGACAGATGTATTCATTTGCATTTGCCCCAGATGAATCGCTTTTTTGTTATTTTTTTAGCATTTCTCACCTCCCAAGATCCTTTTGTATTAATTCTCAAACCCCACCACTTGGGTTCATAGCACCTCCTAATGTAGACCTTTTCCTCGATTCTATCTCATGAAAATGTGCCCTTCCTGTGGGCCATTAAGATGTTCGATAAGAAACGGTGTGACCTAAGGTCCTAGGAGCATCACTCTCCCTCACCCCACCCCCCAAGAGATCAAAATATCGAAGGTTGAAAATTTCTATTGAACCAAAGAGAGTTTAAGTTATCCCATTTTAGAAAATCTGGTAATTTGAACAATGCTGTGGATCTGAAATCTCAAAGGTCTCATGCATCAGTTTTTGTTGTTCTAGGCAGGAAGGCAGATTTCCCTGTGGGGGCCTTTCTCTGGGGATCTCTAGCAGTTCCTATAGGGGAATCATCCTTTCTGTTCCCCACACCCAAAGGCTTAGTGGGAACATGGGGTAAGAAATACAGAGAACTAGATGTGGGTTCTGTGTGTAGGCTACCTCAGCCCACAGAAATATAACACAAGCCACACTGGTCCTTTTATATTTTCTAACTAGTGGCCCGGTGCACGGATTTGTGCACATTGAAAGGAAATTCATTAGAAGGTGGCTGGCAAGGCCGGACTGGGTGAGATGGGCTGGACACGCCCTGGAGCCAACCTCCCATGGTCTTTCCCTGGCCAGTGCACCTGGGGCAGCGCCAGAGCTCGAAGGGTGTCTACCGTCACCGCAGGTTGGCAGTAAACCAGATTAGGGGCTGACAGTTCCCCAGCAACAACATAACCCACAGCCAAGGGTGGAATCGCTGGGCCCTAGGAGGAATTGGGCTCCCTCCTCTCTGGTTCTGGGGTGCATCACCTGAGAACCACCACTGCCAAGTCACTGCAGCTGGGCAGCTCCTGCATTGAGCGTCTGCCCCCAGGTGGTCAGTGAGCATCATAGCTACTGCTGGTCAGATGGTCACTTAGCCTTTTATATACATAGATAGCTGCATTTTAAAAAGTAAAAGGTGAAATTAATTTTAATAATATAGTTTATTTAACCCAATATATCCAAAGTACTATCATTTGAACACGTGGTTAATATAAAAGTATTTATGAGATATTTTTCATTCTTATTTCAGTACTGTCATGGAATCCAATGTGTATTTCACACTTACTGCACACCTCATTTGGAACTAGCCACATTTCAACTCATCAACAGGCAGTACTGTATTGGGCAGCACACAGACACCCTTGGTTTCTGTTGCTTCATTGGGCCTCTGAGACCTCAACCCATTTTGCTGTGGTTGCATGCCTTTTATAGTTATTATGAGCTCAAAACACCTACATTGGAGAGGAACTCCATCTAATGCGGCCCACTTCCTCCTTGTCATTCTGTCCCATTATCCTGTTTTATTGTCTCAATAGCACTGATCTCTTCGAAAATAATCTTATTTGCTTGCCTCTTCTCCACCAGAATGTAAGTTTCACGAGGACAGGACATTTTTTTAAATCTATTTTGGTCGCGGTGATTTTTCCCGTGGCGAGCACCATTCCTGGCACACCGCCGGCGATCGCTTTTGCGGGACCGCAGGAATCGCATTTCTCTGGAACCCAGCCGAAGGGGGCAGCAGAGCGGCGTGTCCCAGGTGGGGCACCCACGTTGCGCGCGGCTGCGCTCGCTCTCCGCTCGGCGTGGGTGTGGAGTGGGTGGGTGTGTGCCGGGTGTGCGCGGTAGAGCGCGCCAGTGAGTCCGGAGCGGTGAGCCGAGGGGAGCAGCGCGCTGCTCACAATCC